ACGGAGACCAGTGGTGGATCTAGGGGAGGGGGCTGAGAGGCCCAGCCCCCCCTCAATTTGGGTAAAAAGAAAAAAAAGAAAAAATGATGGCAGAAGGTAGAAAAGCCGACAGGGCAAGGGACAAAAAACCGCCCGCCCCCCCTCCCCTTAGCTCAAGGTCTAGATCCGACTCTGGTGACCCCGACGTGACACACAAATACCGCGGAACAAAGAGAGATAGTTTGGAGCCCTCAAAGATAGTCCAGAAAAAAAACACAACAAAAAAAAAACGAAAAAAATAAAACTCGAAGGGACACGGTGAGCAATAATAGTAGACTACGCCGGCCGCCATCTTAGATTTTGGAAAGAACTGCGAATTCTCTTCACCGAAGCAATCCCAGTACAGCCATCAAATCCATAGAGATTAGTCATCCACTTATTCGGAACAGCAATCCAGCCAAGTAGAGCCACACAAGAGGCAACTTATTCGGTGGAATATGCGAAAGTAAACGAAAACGCCGATCGACCGCAATAGATGATTTCATACAAGCAATTGAGTCACCATGCCAGAAACCGTCACTAATAGGAGAAAGCGACAAGTTGCAATTGAGCAAGCTGCTAGAGCAAGGCTAAATGGAGTTGAAATGCTCAAAAGGTTGGATTTTACTTCCAAGACACTACACCACGAATATTTGTGCTTTAGCCAAAAAGGCGTTACAATGCTACAATGGGCTTGAGGAGAGTATTAAAGTAAACAAAGTGTTAATGTGGATGGGGCCTGAGGCATATGTTAAACACGAGTTACACCCAAACAGTGCCTTGCCTACGGGAAAGAATGCAAAAAAAGAAAAGGGCCACATCGCTGAGAAATGCCCTGGTAAAGAAAAGGCAAATTCTTCCAACAAGGGATCCAGTAAGCAGAAACAAATACTCGAACCCAAGAAGAAATTTCATGAAGCAACTGCAGACTCAGAAGACAGCGAGGCAGACTTCTCAGAGTACGATACTGACGAGATCACAATACAAGTTGACTCTGTAGAGAGAACGGACGAAGAAACCAAGTTTACCTAGACGCATTTTGGCAAGAAACTGGCCAATCACGTCACTAAGGTCTATTTAGACGAAGACCAATCACCTAATGTATTGTATGCCACTGTTGAACTTGAATTGCCGGATGGAAGCACAAAAAGGCTCAAGGGCAAGGTTGACACTGGAGCTCAGGTGAATCTGATAAATTATACGACATTCCGAGAAATCTTCCAGCCTGCCATCGACGAAACCTTTTGTGAAATCCCTGATGCCTATTGCATTGCAGACGATGTGTTAATTTCTGTAAGAACAAGGAAGGAACACGATCTGGCAGTAAACAGGATCATCCAACGATGTCGAGACTCAGGCTTCAGTCTCAATCCGAAGAAAGCAAAGATTTTATTAGAGGAGATTAATTACTTCGGCCATACCCTGACGAAGGAGGGATTAAAACCAGACACGAAGAAGGTCCAAGGGATAAAGCGGTTGGCGGTGCCAAGAACAAGCAGGAGCTACAATCACTGCTAGGAATGTTTAATTACTTGATCGTACCCAACCTGGCAGCCATAACGCAGGACCTCGGTGCTCTAGTAAAGAAGAATGCAGACTGAAGGCCGAGCTCAAAGACAACACGACATTGCACTACTTCAACCCAAAAAAGAAAATCGTCATCGAATGTGATGCCAGCCAGTTAATTTCTCATCTAGAAGTTTGATTGACGCAGAAACGAGATAATGTACTATTAAACGCGATATGCTTGCCGTAGGCAGTCAATCATTACCGATGGTATGTGTATGGACGAAAATTCAAGATACTCAGTGACCACAGTCCATTACAGCAGATCATCAAGAAAGACATAAGAGACACAACCACCCGACTGCAAAGACTTTTGTTGCGTTGTCAAGGCTACGTTTTCACAATAGAATACAAGAAAGGTGCCGAGATGCACACTGCCTATCTAGGTGTTTACCGCCACCAGCGCTCAACCAAGGCTCAGTATTCCTAGAGACCAGCCAAATCGGTACGTTTGAGGTCACTGCAGCAAATGAATCTGATATCCAGAAGATCCGATGAACTAAAAAGCAAGGAGCTAGAGCGCTTATGCCAGCAAGGATTGCCAGAACACCGCAATCAAGTGTCCGAGTTAGCCACAGCTCAGTGGGACTACAGACATGACATTGCAGTCATTAATAGGATCATTTTGAAGAGCGAAAGGATCGTGGTGCCGCAGAAGATGCGAGAGTGTTTACTCCAAAAGCTGCACCGAGTCCATCAAGGAGTGGATAAAGTGGATAAATCTATCCAAAGAGCCAGGAACAAGTGGATCTGGCCTGGCATGACTGAACAGATCAGAGGCTTATTCTGACCTGCCCATTCTGTCTGGAGCACCAACCCACATAGAAAAAAGCAGCAGTTACCCTTGTGATCACAACCAATGCCATGATCATGGGTTGTGACATTTTCTAACATGTTGGTCAATGATATAGTTGCATCGTTGACCACCACACAGGGTACCCATGAGTAAAGCCAATCAAGAGCCAAGAAGCAGATACAGTATCCAACATTTTTAGAGTGTTTGTAACCAGTTTGGTTATCGTACGAAGGTAGTACGCGATCGAGGCTCACAATACACTTCCAGTGGCTTCCAAGAACTCTGCTTGCAATTCAACATCATAAACAAGGCAGGGACCCTTCACTTTCAGTGGAAAAACGGCCACTGCGAAAATGCCGAATGGGAGGCTCAATAGATTAGTTGAGAAGTCCAAGGAAGAAGAAGCGCCAATGGAAGACATGCTTCTGAACATCCGCGACACACCACCAGATGCCAATACCCCTTAACCCTATGAGCCGATGTTTCACAGGAAGGTCAAATGAGATCTACCTTCAATACCACTCAGCCTGTTCGACAGCACAAACAGCAACAACGCAGGCCGAAGGAGTGTTAAACACGCCAAAAGAACGAATGAAGGCGAAAACAGAAGTGAACCACCAAACAGAGGTGAACATCAAACAGTCATGTTTATGAAGAAACCTCAGGAAAGGAAGACCCGACGGTCATGTGGGGCAGTGGTTTCAATGGACAGAAAACGATCATACACCGTAAAAGACGACACAACTGGAACAGTGCGTTTCACCTCTTGCAACGACTTGTGCTGAACAAAGGGAGGAAGACACATCAGTGCCAGTGCAAATGCCAAACGCCAATGTTACGAATAATCCACCAAAGCCGCAGCCAAAGATCCCCAGAAAGCTGGCAATCCATCAGAAAGCGTTGAAACATCCCGCCCAAGGCGTGCCATCGAACCACCAGTGAAATATGGATACGAATAAAACCTCGGAAGTGACCTTTACCATGCGACTTGTAAAGGATGCAGCAATGACCAGTGCAGAATGACCAAGGACTATGAGCATTTAAAATAAAAAAAAATTAAAAAAAGTAATATCTAAATCAGAACACTGATAGACATTAATTTTTAGTAAACACTAACTTATTTCGAACCATTGCAGTTTTGGATCCCGCTATATAAACAAGAATCTCAGTGGATCTTCTACTCCTAGTCGTGACTATAATTGGTAACTAATACTTTCCATTTTAACAGGAAATTTTTTTAACATTTGACTTCCTAAAAGGGCCTGATAATTCATACAGAAACACGCATTCTTATGCTTTGGCTGTTTACCCTTTTAGCCGCAAGATCTCATCAGTAATTCTCCTTAATGTCCGCCATACAATTCTTTACTGCTAAGTTCAGAGAATTTGATATGGGATCATCCAATAATCCCTAATTGATATTTCTCCTTTTTCTTATCACATTTCTGCTTGACACTGTAAGGAGAAATTCTGTCTTGGTCACTCACGAGAGTTAGAGGGTTAAGGAGCAGCATTGTTTTGATTTGTTCGTGTTTGAGATGGTTAGTTGGCGCTTGAGACCTTTTGACTGTCCTTTTTCTATTCTTGAATGATTATTCTGTGTTCCCAGCAGGATTTCTCTTGCAATCACCCTTTTTTTTCTCGAACGCCATCGGAGGTCAGAAGTTAGGAACGATGGGGTAACTAAACTGGGGTAGCTAAAAAAAAACTGCCAGGGAAAAACCCGCCTATTACATCAGATGTCGAACTGTACGTCCACCCACACTTATCCTCACATTCCTTAATTCTAGGAGTGACGGGTCTTTAATGGTAGGAAATTTAACGTTTTACATATAATAACAGTCGCATGTCCAGAGAAATAAAAAAAAAAGAAGTGGGAAATTTGGTTTTCGTCAGAAGGTCACGTAATATGTTTCCCTTGTAACCGTAAGCTAGCTAAAGCTGACAACATTTTCATAGCTTCAACTCTTTAAATAAATAAATTTTTACTTTAAGACTTAAGTAAATTATTTAAATCTTATTTGAATTTATTTTGTTTACATTTCTTCTTTATTTCTTGTTGATAAAGGAACATTAAATCAGAACTGAGCAGGCGTTAAAGCGTGCGACACGGGACTTTTACCGAATAGCAGTTTTGCCATTAGTTGTTCTCTTTGACCTATGCCATCATCTCATCGTGCGGCAGAAATTTTTAAGGCCGCAAATTTTCTAATTTGCAATAAAATACTCTCAAAACTCTGCTGTTGTCCAATGAGTAAATGTCGTGACATCATTGTATACAACCTGTGCAATGATGCATGAAACAGCAATTAATCGTGAACAAAGCTGTTGCTTGGTGACTTTGTCAATAAAATGGACAACTAAGCCTCTTGATTACAAATTTTGCTGATACGTGACTCCTTTGAGAGGCTTTTTTTAATTTTATTCTTTTTCCAAGGGCATTCATTCTGTATCGGAACGAAGCTTTAAATCACGGTACAAGGATAACACTTTCGAGCACTTAGCGATATCTTATTTCACCTAAAGCGCGCGTGTAAACGGGATTCGATTCTTCCAGGAGCATGTGAATGACTACCTAAGCTCCTCTCTGACAAGTAGCTACACAAGCCCTCACGAGAAAATGGGTGCCATAGTTTCGCATCGTAAAGGCCAGAGAAGGATATCACGCGCAGAACAGAAAGCAGCGTAAGTTTTGTGTCAAGATATTACTGTTGATGAGTGTACAAATCGAACACTTCGAGTTCATTATGTGTTTATTGCAGTTCATATTTGCACATTTGCTTTGGGGAATATGGCGTTCAGAGTGTATTCTGAGTGCTTTTACTGACAATCTTTCTCTTTTATCTCCAAAGAGCAGTTAATGCATTTGCAACACACTCAAAGAAAAGTGAAAACTCAAAGCAGGAACTCGAAGGTATCTGAAACAGATTAAGAGTTGTTCAATTTCACTTGTGATATTTATTCACGATTGGTGAATATCTCATAACAATGTACAATAAGCACATAAATAATGCATAACTTTACCTTTACTCTCAAATAAGAAATTGCGTCGTGCTCTGGGGGTATCTTGACATGAAAAATAAAATCATAGCTATATATTAATCAATAATTTTTGCTATTCATAACATGGACTTTGCAGTAATTATTGAAAAAGAAACTATTTTAAAAGGTTTTATTAAATGCACATTACCATAAAGTGCCAATTATCCATTACTGCAAAATCTAAGAAAAGTTACTGCTGACGTAGCAAAAATCAGGTCTGTTGTGTTCACTGTGCTGAATCAAAGAATGGAAGATTTCAGGACACAAACCATCTTCTAATTGCCCAAATTATATTTTATATGTTTTCTGCAAATGTTGCTATTTTATTTTAAGGAAATGTTGACCAACATCAAAAAAATCAATCTGCTTCAAATTTCAACTTTATTAGCTCCTACCCAGCCACCTGCACCAAAGACCAGTTCTGCAACATCCAGGAGCAGTCCAAACATTGCTGTGGCATCTTGGGGTGAAGGGATTGTGGGAACATCCTCTCATTCATTAAATGATAAGGGTGTGATCACATCCAGGGGTGTCCAAAATGAGGTCAAGTCTAGTAAGGAGATGTACCCATCACTAAAACCCAGAACACCAGACTCAAACAAAAATACAGAGCTGTACACAGGCTTTGCCACAGTCACACCAATATCAACCCAGACAGACAAAGACCTGGCAGCTATAACTATTCAAAGGTACTGAAATTCTTAGCTTGGAAACTGCTAGACAAAAAATAAGAGGTTGTAGTTTTAGGCCATAAACTTGTTCCACACTCCCCTTGTGACTGAAAAAAATTATTTTGGTAGGTAATTCTCATCATTCTTGTCATAGACATGTGAGAGGCTACCAGTCCAGAAGGCAGCTTGAACAGGAGGAACTTTCAGCAAGAATTATTCAAAGGTATTTATTTGCCTATGTAAAAGAACATTGCATTAAGTTTTATTTGAATTAGCACTCAGAGTGAATTAACCAAATAATTACAAATTTTGAAACCATCAGAGGCTACCGAAAGTACAACAAAACAAAAACAGAAAGGAATGATCCTCAAAAGTCAGCAGACATTGTTAAAGGAGAAGGAGATGATAGTAGCAATGAGGATGAAAATAAAACAGATGAAAGAAGAAAACCTGAGTATAGGAAGCCATGGAAAGAATCAACAGCTGTTGGTCCAGTACTAGACACTGATGTTAAAATTGGTGAGATAAATGCTTACATGTATCATTTTTTTCACCAAAATGAACAGAGGGTCAGTCTAGAGGGGAAGGGGCAGCTGTGAGGGTAAAAAAGAAGAGTTTCTCTAGTGGCAAGTGGTCCCACATTGCTGGAGTTTGTCAACACAATTTCCATGATATCCCACAATTATATATAAGGGTACAGCTACTTCATGTCAGCTTTGTATGCTACATGTAATTCACTCTTATTTATAATTAGCTCCCAATTTTTTTGTCATGACAGTGTCCTAAGAGCTCTTGGACTCTTCTTAAGGTCATTAAGAAAGCTGGTTCTTCAAGGCTGATTAGGAATGTTTCCCCTAAGAACACAACACAGTCAGCCTGGTTAGGGTCTAAACATGAACCTTTTCATGTTGAATTCAAACAGCTCACATAACTTTCAAAAAAAAACCCTTAACTGACTATGACTTCTCCCATGGGGCTTTTCAGGGACAATACAAAAAAATTGCAAACTGACGTTATAGATAAACATAGTGTTTCAAATTCTGAACTAGAAGGAGGTAGACCAGTTGGCTACTGTACAAAGATATGCTAAGAAGTCAAACTTGGGGCAAATGAGAACATTTAATTAACAGTCGGGTGGAGAGCTTGAATCCTGTGGGATCATCACATTTTGAAATCAGTGCCCCCACCCACTCAGCCACAGTTCCTCCTATTAAGAGAAATTGGGGTCCTGAAAATTAGAAAAACCTTTTTTAAAATGAAATTATTGAGCAAGGGGGGATAGTACATAGAACCCCCTTGTATCCTATATAATTGTACTGCACTTAAACTTTGTATAAATATCATTCAATTATTTTTAGGAGAAAAGACAAAAGAGAGCTTTAACATGTACCAGGAAGACATTACAGATTTGAAGTGGAAAACAGAACAACAGGTAATATAATTATGTGGCATCACATCTATCAGGGCCTTGAAAAAAGGACATGTACAACCATATGTTAACCTTTAACTCCCAGATCAAATTTGTAATTCTTCTTACTGTCAACCATACAATTCTCATAATGTTAGTTCAAAGAATTTAGTATTGGATCAATTAATTATCCCCAAATTGATACTTTTCTTTATTCTCATGATTTATCTGGTTGATAATGTATTGATATTTTTATCAGGAGAAATTCTGTCTTGGTCACTCATGAGAGTTAAAGGGTTAAAGAGAACTGTCTTAAACCTACCTAATCTCACACTTTGGCTAAAATTCTCATTCCCAGCATATACCAGTAATACATTTAAATTGGTGTTTATGCATGTAGACACAAACTTTCATTGATGTGCAAGCTCACCCATTTGTGGCTCTGAAATATTAACTGAATATTTTATTATTCTATATGATTTGTTACTCCTGGTAAATTAGTTGGAAATGACAACAATGGGAGATGGTTACACGCCTCCAAGATTGGTGGTAAGTGTTGACACTCTCTATACCTTGGGATTAAATAGCAACATTTAGTGATTATCAAAAAGTGAGTATGATTGGCAAAAATCAACCAAGTCTTGCTGAGTGAGACTTGGTATCCTGGGCTTTGTAGATATCAGGTTATGCATGGTCACCATGTTTTCAATCATGCCCTTTGAAGAAAGGCCCTGAGCACATGCCATTGGTAAAATAGATTGAAAGATTCAACAAATCAGAAGTGATATTTTACAAAGGGTGAGATGAAAACTTGGGTAATCTGCAAAAAAAGGGCCAGATTGAGAGAGGGGTCAATGATTCAAGGAACAAGCCATTGGTACTGCATGCACAGTGCATCCATAAGTTTATAACTAAAAGAGTGCAAGTGGCAATCTAGGCAAGACCTTTAGTTAGGAATGCACTTTATGCTTATGTTAAGAGCTGGAAATATACATAAATAGTAATTAAAAGACTCTGGTAGGGGGATTTCTAGCCTTCCATTGCCTCAATTGAAGGAAATATAAGTATTACGTCCAAAACTAGATAATTATTGAAAAATACTGATTGTAAATTTACATCATCTGAATTTTAAACCACATTAAGCTCATTGCATCAAATGTTCCAAGATCTGATGTTCTAGAAAAGATAGTGAACGAAGATGTTCTTAAATTGAACTATGTGAGTACATGTGTATTACATAATTTATATCTCATATTGTTATACAAAGTAATTTATTTATGGTTACAGATCTTGATATGGTGATATTTGTTTTGCCAGCAATTGGGTCCAGATTCTTTTTTTCTTTCTTTTTTTTCTTTTTTTTAATAAATTTCCTTATCGGAGGTCTAGAATTTTCTCAGGAAACCAGAGTAAATTTGATGCAAACTGGTCATTAAATTTCACAGCTGTCTGCTGATCTGCCTGCTTTATGTTAATTTACTCTTATACCCCTCTTGACCCCCATGTGACTATTATTAAATATCAGTGAAAGATTATTGCTATTATAAATAGTATTGCTAGTAGAATTATTAAGTCCATTATTGGTATTGTTATTGTTGTTATCATTACTATTAAATAAAAATTACTGTTATTTTTTTTTCTGGGACTACATTTCAATTTTTGTCTGTCTTAATTGAGTGACAAATTGAAACATAATTAATCATTTGAACTATCAATATCTGATCAGTGAGTCTCTCTTCTATTTGCCTAGTAAATCGCTTTCCCTGTGAACTTAAGGGAGTTTAAAGGATAATTATACTTAAGTTTTATTTCTTAATTTTTTTTTGTTTTATAGGATTTTTCCGCAACAACACTTCAAGTTTTATTAGGTATAGAAAAAATCCCAATTCCATATGTTACATACTTAATGTATTCTGTATTGTAAATCAACATTAAAATTATGCATATTCCACCCACTTGTATTTTACATTTTGAAGACAAAATCATCACTGCTTCTCAAGGGAAAAATACAATTTGTAATCAAAGTACTTTTTTTAACAGATAAAATTGTAGCTATGCTTGAGGGATTCCAGAGCAGAAGTAAAGCTCAGTCAATAGCACTTGTTTGTCAGGTATATCCAGTTTTTTTGAGATTACAGTAATGATAATGTCTCTTGTTTTAATAGTGTCAAGTTTTATCATATATTTCATCCTTGTTAATTGTCACCATTGCCATGTTCATGCACTGATCTTGTCAAATAAAGAGTCTCATCTAATTCTTAACAATGTCACCTAGCAAAAAGATCAAAGTTTCAAATGATCCATCGTGTAACTCATCCACTTAGTAATCACATCTCAGATGGTGTGCAAACAGGACATATTCTTTCATACTACTGGTGTAGCTGGCATTATGCCTAAAGAGAAACCACTAAGTAATTTTTTTTAAGTTTACAGGTTAAGAAAGTAATATCATCTTTAAGAAATTATTGCGATAAATTTCTCAGTTTATAAGATCACTATTAAGTAATTGCTACTGCCATTGTTTTAATACCAGGGAGGACCTGGCTTCTTCAATCCAGTGAAAGGAAAGATGTTCACAAAAGCTAAATTTAAACAAGATGAGGAGATTAACAGGTATCCCCACTTTATTCTCCATACATGTAACTAGCTAACATATTTAATCAGTAAAGTTCTCAGTGTATAGGTTCTTGAGTAGAAACTTATGTATATGCTGTACCATACATCTCAATCTGAAGATATTTTGTTACTGAGAAGGATTACTACCCATAAAATCATCTTAATGAAGTGTGAGAAATAGAAACCCATTACCAGATAACATTTTGAAAACCCAAGGTTTCCATGTAGTAATTTAGGATCAGAAGAATAGTGTGAAATAACAGAAAAATGTATGATTTGATTGCTCCATATCTGATTGAAAAATAACCCATGTATTCAACTGATACATTGTTGGAGCTTTCTGTGCAGTTGGGAGAGATTTCTGCCATATCTGATGCCTAAATTAACATCCTGCAATTTCCACTCTGCTTTCACTTAATTTTTACAGTTTTTGGAGTAGTCTTGGTACACACATGTCAAAACTTGACCCAGAACAGACAAAGATCCACATTATTGGCAATAATGTGACTGGAAATGAGAAAGGAGAAAAATTATTGAAGTTTCTTTCCAAGGAAATGCAACCATCAAAAGTCAAGGTTGAGTCACCATTAGAATTTGGACAAGCAGGTGAGTGGTTATTTAGACTTCACAGCTGGGTATTCTCTCCAAATAATCCATCAGGTAATCAATCTATGTACTTTAACTGATTATGCAAGCTACATGTAAATCTGAGTTGTTATCACCAGATCTGCTTCCCTCTTGTCTGGTATGACAAGTTTTCTTATAAGATAAATCCAAGATTGGATTGTTTTACTCATCTACTGGTATAATATTTTAAATTTCATTCTTTTACTTTAAGAGACATAAACTTGTTTGATAATGAACCCATTACAGAAAAAGACCATTGATGGGAAACCTTACTCAATGAATTCTGTTCATTACAATGAAAAAAAATTAAACTTAGGACAACTATTTGTTTTTTGAATCAGATCATGTTTAGACACAAATAACTGAGCCTGACCAGCTCAACTATTGATTTTTCCTGCTCTGGTTGGTCCAAAGTGACATTTTATCATAAAAGTCACATTAATCTGAGATGTGGCCCTATAGTGTATTGTCACATTGCTTTTGTTAATTATACTGCAGAGAATCATAAGAGAAGACTTTTGAGATGTTGAAAAGTGCTTTAAGTTTTACTACTAAAGTACCTACAATTATATAAAAATACCATTGTGCAAGAAAATGTGAGAAAATAAAATTCAAGTACATGTAAGCTAACTGATTTTCATTGTATTAGTAGTAAGGAAATTATGCTTTCTTTTTCCCTTTCTCTTTTTAATTTTAGGTAAAGAAATGCTGGCCCTCTATTTTGATCATGACAAGTACAGAATATGGAGAAGCAAAATGCATTCCAAAGTTTCATTTACCCTTTGACTTTTTTAACCCTACAATTGTGTAGTTTCCCTCCTTTTGGTCTCATTTGCTATGCAAGTTGATGTATCATGTTCATACAACACACTAAATAATAAGTTATTATTTATTTATTTCGCATGGAATTTTTCACTTCAAAATTGAAAATGATACATTGTATTCCATACATGTAAGTTAAAGGTTGGTCAGTTCAGTAAATTTGTCCATTCAGTCAGCCATTGACAGGGATGTCAATGTTTTGCTTCAATGTAATATTTTTTAAACTACCAGTAACCTATATAACCTATAAACCCTTCAGTTCCCAAGATCTTATCCATAATTCCCTGTTCTGGTTGTTACACATATCTCAGTAAACTGGCTCTGAGAATTGGGTGAAACATCAATAGCACCTTACAGGTGATAAGTTTGTTGTTTCATTTTCCCAGAGTAAATTCAATTGTAAGGAGAAGATATGGGACTTAACATATACTTAAGATCCCCTAATTACAAGCCAATAATTATTTTTTAAGTTCAGACTAAATATTTCCCTTGGTGCTTTCCCTAAAACAAAAACATTGAAAGCAAACAAAAAGAGACAATTGCAAACATGCAATAACATCTTAAGCACTTACACAGTTGGAACTTGTCACAGTTAACCCTTTGACCACTAAGAATGATTTGCATCAAATGTTTCCCTATAATATCACCCCTGAATCACAAACTATTGTCACATAAAAATAAAAGAAACAATCACCCTCTAAAGAAGCTCTTGATTGTTAAACAAATTATACTTGTCAGCTGATGTGCTGATGTGCTGATATAAAGGTTTAAAAGGTTAAGCCACACTTCACATTTTCAAAGATCCCCTTCCACCCTCGACTGGAAAAAAAGCAGAGTTATGCGACTACTGCTTCTATGTGTATGAATAGATATACAATATTTTGCTTTGCAAGAATCTGACAGATAGATTAATTTTTTTAGAATAATATGGAAAGATTGTGACTGATCAGCATTTTTCTCTGGGTCATTACATCCCAACACTTTTTGTTGGCCTCAATGCTTGAAGAGTTTGATTCAAAGAGTACTTTTTAAAAAAACAGATATTGTATATTTTTTAGTTATTAATACAGGATTACTTGGAAAAATCTAACTCCTGTGTCTCAAGATATTTAATGCTTAACTCTTATGGGTAAATGATAAGTAGCTTCTTTAAGTTAAATGAATAACTTAGGGTCCCTTCTACTGCACAATTTCATGTGTCAATTTAAGTAAACATTTCAATAATATAACAATGCATTTGAAGTAATTGATTTCCAAAGAAATATAATGTTTTCCTTTCCTTTACTAATATTTCCTTACTATTTAAGAAGAAATCCATCTCTAAAAGGATCATCCTTTTCTACAGTGAATGTGCATTTCCCAGTGTAATATGCATTGCCTGCAACTTCTACGTGAACAGCATCAAAGTCCCCAACCTTAGTTTCCTTCACAGCCTGACCAGTGAACTGTGAACCAACCAGACCTTGCTCAAACACACGCATCTCATGCAAGCCAATTTGTTGACGTGCATACTGCACTGCAATACGTGCTGTCACTCCTGATCCTGTCGGACTCCTGTCAACCTACAAAACAAAATTTTTGCAAGTTTACTCCACAAAGAAAACTTATTTTATGGAACAGTATTATAATTGTTAATTACTAAATTTTTAACCCTCCAGGCTGATTATTGCAATTCTATTCTTCTGATTGTTTCACTCAACTCTGGTTATCACCTCATATTCAAAGTCACCTTTCATGGAAAGCATTATGCCAACTGTTGTGGAGCCAAAAAAAAGCTCCAAATGTCCAAAGTTCAGGATTGACTGAAATTCAAAAGAGCAATTATACCATTTGCACTTGTTGGATATGAGATAAGTCATAGCAAACTTGGTGCTATATGCATTGTTGGCTATTTACCATCTTATATCCCACAAGCACTCATGAAATAATTGTTCATTAAATGGCCCCTAATTTTGGTCCTATTAATTTTCCTTGTTGCCTTCACTCTGGGTAAACCTCACTCTATCCATGCAACCACACAACTATAATAATTATTCATTGTGCTACATAGTCTCAACATAATTATGTATCATGTCTTTGTAATTGTAGCACCTAATACTGCAAATTTATTATACAGAAACAGCAACAACAGTTTTATCTGTACCCAGAGTGAGTAAAGACAAAAGTTTTTATAATTTCTTACTTCCAGGTAACATCAGCATAAAACATGTTTTATCATACAACATACATTAAAATTATTATTTTATTACTTTTAATAAAACTTTTATTCGACTCCCGCTTGTTGGATATGAGAATCTATTATTACCAACCTGGCTTAGCTATCTATCATTTAAAATCCAATATGCACTCATAGAACGATTGTCCACTATATAATATTAAAGGTTTGTTGGTTCACTATGCAACCAGCAACCAGTGCACCTCAGAGGAACCAGTCACAAACCCCCCCTCCCACTCCACCCTTCAACACAACTGATTTGAGGTAAAACTTATCCTATTACAATCACGTAACATGAGAAAATAAAAGAAAAAATAACAGGTAAACCACAATTGATTTAAATTTTTACCCAAACCACAGTAATACATCACTTCAAAACAAGGAAAAAGTTATCTGAAGATCTCCTTTTTAAGACTTTTACTTGAGAAAGCAATCTTATCCCGTTCAAACGTAAAATATTTACTCATAATTAATCCACTTTTTAGTTTTAAGCTGTCAAATTTTCACAGAAATAAGGGAAATTACAAAAGAAGTGATATTTAATTGTGAAGCCAAACTAATTGATTGCTACGACTTGACTGGCTGAATAAGATAATGATTTCCTCCCAAGCAATTATTTCAATAAATAAAATCACCTGCCCGCAAAATGAATAAATTATGCATTTCACTAAATGATCTGGGAGTAACTTGCCATATGTAAATGAACCCTAAAATGGTTTTCACTGACGATGAGAACCCAAATTTTAAAACCGGTGACACCTGCCCTCAGAAGAAGCCACCAGAGATGACAGATTTCGTTTGACAGCTTAAGTACTCGAACATATCGAGCAGAGCAGAAAAACGATCAGGCGATTAGGATTCTTTTAGAAAATGGAACCATGTACTGCACTACACATACATATGTGTACCAAAGATTTTCAAAGTGAAGTTCGAACACACAAAGTACAGAAATTAATTTATAATTTATACTCTGATCACAAGTGTACTTTTCTGAAACCAATCTTTTTTTGCATGATCACTCTGAGCATTTGCCGTTGCAGACAAAGTAGATCTCGCAACTCTCATTCCTTGCATTTTTCTGTTTATTTATCCTAATGATGTTTCGAGCGCGGGGAAATATTAGACAGAGAGGGATCGTGGGTTACTTCCTCGAGCTGAGAAAGCGCAAACAATTGCGCAAAAATTAATAATGCCAGCTAAAGATATTCTTCGATCACAAAGTCAGATACCAAATGAATACAAAAATAAAGTATTTCCAAGTTCCCTAACCGATTGCCCCTACGCTGTTTACATCGAAAGAAATCAGTAAGAACGAAAAATATAGGAAATATTCTCACCTCACTGTCCGCAAAGACACATACATTCGCTGTTGCTTCTTGTGAGTCGCTATTAAACATATCTTTGCCATCGGTAATGATAGTACCATAAAGAAAAGCTAGTTCCTCACTGTCTGGGTGGTGCAGCTTTATTTGACTTTTCCCCGCGTTGGTAATCGCATTAGCAGCTTCCACAATATCAGCGAGTCGCGACGAACGCACATCAACACCCAAACGATGCGCGGGGACTATGGCGTAGAACGCTCCCCCAAATCCAATGTCAACTTTTACTTGGCCAAACTTCTCCGTGTTTATCTCCACATCAAGTCCAAAAGCAAAAGCTGGAACAGAAACAAAACGAACACGGCCCGATTTGCCTTCTTCTATATCGACCAGGGCTTTTACCACGCCGCAAGGACACTCGATGAAGACAGGTACTTCACCCACACTCGAGCGCGATACGTCCGTAGTGAGGAGGCCCGAGTCGACAGCGTAGCGACCGAGTGCTATGACAGCGTGCCCACACATGGTGCTGTATCCTTCGTTATGCATGAAAATCACCCCTAAATCGGCCATTTCGCTGTGTGGTTGGACGATCACAGCGCCATACATGTCATAATGTCCGCGAGGTTCAAACATCAAGAGCTTGCGAAGATGATCAAGGTTTTCTCGAACGTACCGTCTTTTGTCTAGAATGGTGTCTCCTTTAATCTCAGGGAAACCAGAGGCGATTATTCTCAGTGGTTCCCCTCCAGTGTGCATCTCGATAGTTGAGATCTCTAAGCCGTTTTCTTCCATCGTAACAACCAGCAACGAAAGATTCGAGTATGTTTAAAGGTGTTCAACTGAGTTGAAAACTGTTGTGTTTGACTTCCGCTGCACTTCCCGCGCGCATGTCCCGCAGTTAATTGAAGAGGCGGGAACTAATTAACTTCCAGGGTTTCAGCTCATAAACTCTTCACTCTTTTAAAAGCATTAACTCGCTGAAACGTGCAAGAAATCCTCAAATTTTCTTCCTACTCCTCTCCCTTGTTGTCAAATCGCTCTTAGCTCGTTCAAATTTGCTACCTTGTCGAGATATTTCAGCTGTATTGTGTGACATTTAGATAAGTGATTAGCGTTATGTGATCTCTTTTCTTGCGATTTCAGTCTAGACAATAGAATCAGTTAATCAGCCCATATATCGTCGTTGTCTGGGATTTAGGGTGTGTTGCACGTCAGTGATAAAAAAGAAAATCGGTACGTGATCAAAAAAAACAGTGAATAAGGAAAATAAATAACCGTGAAGTTTGCGAAGGACAGCCTGGTGTTTTTGGCATTCGCAACAACCTTACAAAAATCTATATCGAGAAAAAGCTAAGAAGCGACCCAGTTGCGGCCTTTTCCGCTGTTGCTGTCTTTTTCTTGGTCTTTCCTTTGTCATTTGCAGATTCTGCTGCAAGAAAACGGATGTTCGTCTCCATAAACGTTGGTTTACAGCAGGTAGGTTTGCAGCACGCAGGAATATTCTCGGTATTGTACGGTGGCCCAAAGAGGACATGCCACATTTTTTTTTATCGCGGGATAAATGGGAAACTTGTTGGGTCACACTCGATCGGCTGTCACGCACGTTGTTTCCGTGGACGCGACGATAATGGTTGCAACAGTTGGAAAGTTCTTTCGCAGTCTAGAAATTTACAAACCTGCAATGTAATCAGAAAGAATAGATGATCCACACTTGTTCTCAGACACTTAGAGCCATCTCCGAAAGTGTCTCTTAAGATTACGCAAACCAAGGTTTACTGTACTGGTTCACAGAGCTATGTGTCGTAGAAGTATTGCAAAGTACTACTCAAGGATCTTTTCACGAAAAAAAAGAAGTATTTACCTCAAGACATTCCTCCTCAACTGTGGCAGCCATTGTAGTCAACGGAACAACGTGCGTGACAGCCGATTACGTAAGACCTAACAAGTGTGACATTTATCGCGAGATAATTTCCATTTATCGCGCGATATTTTGATTTTATCGCGCGATAAAAAAATATGGCAAGTCCTCTATGGGGCCCCGTAGTATTGCGAACACTTTCTGAATCCAATTAAAGCAGAAGTCTGAAATTAAGTCTAGATTTTACATATCAGTGAAAAGTAACGCGCAAACCAAAGAAGACATCCTTTTGATGGCCTACAGTGGTCAGTGCTAGGCTATTGATGGATCTGTGTTCAAGACATGCGCCTCTCTGAACCCATAACTAGGAATCACCAGTTCTACGAATTTTTTATGGGAAAAATGTCTGAAACCCCTGATTACCTCGAAATCACTATTGAAAAACCGATATACTGAACCGGCTAAGACTATCATGATCAGGGGCGTGTTCTGTATATGTAATCACATGAGGCCAAGTACTATTAAGGATTAATTGCACGAGAGTTTTCAAAATTTTCCAAAATTGCCCGAGTCGCGAAGCGACGAGGGCAATTTGGAAAATTTTGAAAACTCAAGTGCAATTAATCCCTAATAGTACGAGGTCTCATGGGATTACTTGTTTATCAATAAAGGGCAAAATTTATACGAAGGAAAATCACGCGCGCAGTCTATTTTTATCTGGGAAGCCTGTTTAGCGCTACGGCAAATCATCAATCAAATTGAACTGACCAATCGATTCAATGAAATTTTATTCTCCAAAACTGTGTCGTGATACACTGCCAAAAGTCTAGAAAACAAAGCTCATTTCAACAGAGCGTTTCTGCCAACAGAAAAACAACAAAGTGCTTTTAACTGAACAAGGTAATCATGCCCTCTCTTGATTACTAAAAATGCCCTCGATTAAGAAAAAATGCCCTCTCTCTCAACCAATCAGCGCTCAGTAATTTTGCCCTTTATTGATAACTGCAGTAATTACCAACCATCACCTAAGGTGATCTTTGGCAAGAGATTTTTAACAACTTAATCTATTGGACCTAGCTATTAGGAATTACATCACTACGACATTAATATATGCCAGAACTCCCGGAGTTGCGCCATGTGAGATTGAGATTTTTGTAATTCGGAAATCAGCTAGGGTTTCACTCTTTCCTGGGGCATTCCTAAGGGTAAGTTCTGAGTTTTGGGAATTACGATGTATTAGACGACTAAGATGGCTGACTATTTTAAAGACTTATTATTTTGGAGGTATTCAGATACCTTTTTAATATGTTTTTATATTCAGAAATGAGCAAGTCCTGGTAATGATTCATGAGATCCGCCATATTCTTAGTTAAATGCCACCGAACATTTTCTGAAAAAAGTTCGCTAATATGGAATTAGATTAAATCATGACATTGAAACCAACTCCTTTTAAACAAAATCTAATCTTATAAGTCAAACTTGACCCATGATTAAGTGGGGATCTGGGCACTAGAATATTCTCTCCCTGCCGGCAACGACGGCAGTCTGGTGCGAGATATTTGCATATAATTTTCGTCTTCAGCCCTAGCAGCAATCCGAAGGTGTTGTACTTTAATTTGACAAGGCTGCAATTAAGGGACGAGATCAAGCTCTTACGCAATCGCTCTTGAGACTTGAGGTATCTTAAAATGTGAATTAGATTGATAGAGGTTTTCTTTCACTCTTATTCGACACAAGGTAACGAAAGCAGTGTGGTTCAACCCGTTTACGAGTGTTTGTTGCCACTAAAGGAATATTTGTAAATGTTTGCGACCTAATAGATGTTCAATTTTTGAAAATGTTAGAAGTTTGGCAGAATCTCAACTTCGCTAGGTATATGGAAATACCGGATGATGTAACCACGGTTACGAAATCTACAAAAGCGTACATTTAGTCTAGTATGAAGCCAGTTGTAACATGATTAGATGTTATAATTATAACAAAGTGGGTAATTATATGCAAACGCATAAAGCGAATTAAAAGCTTAACCAGGCCTGCCCACTGATGACCAGTCCATCAGACTCTCTCTCATAAGCAAAGGAATATGTCGATTACATGATAATTTAGAAAACATTTTTACCTGGTGTACGTGTAGACCAAGAGATTATAAACCGTAGTTTCCAACATAAATAAGACTTCTCTGAAGTAGGAGATGAACTTCATTCGTATGTCTCACGATGGAGTCACTTTGGATGTTGATTGCGACGTTTCGACTGCAACACTGCAAGTCTTCATCAGGCGAAAGAAGAGTGATAAAGACTAGCAGTGTTGCAGTCGACAGGTCGCGATCAACATCCAAAGTGACCCCATCGTGAGACAAACGAATATAGTTCATCTCCTATCTTACAGCACGATGAACGAAAACCACATATTTTAATACGTTCTCTGAAGTAGTTGACCTGTCACGCAACGATTCGGCCGACAACCTGAAGGTTTCCCCTAGCTGTGTTAAAACCAAGACAAAGAATCTTTTAGCCTTTCTTTAAAATTAGAAAGAATAAATTGCAGACTTAAGAATATATTTATACATCTGTAAGTGATGAAAATGCAATTTATTTAAGGAGCAGAGTTAAGGTTTCGTCCTGTCGTGATATTTATTGTCGTTCATCTTTCCCTAGTTCCAATACGTTTGAAAATGGCATCCTCGAGCACACCTGGAACAGCGGGACAACTCGTTAAACCAGAGTACAGAAACTGGCTCGCTCTTGGTCATGCCTTAACGACAGTCCTTTGCCATGGACTTCGTCCGTTTATTACGCGAGAGATGGAGGCTTTCTATAGGAATTTAACGGCAAGAGTTGCAGGGCCCTGTACGTGCGTCCATGTCTCAAGAAGAAGGCCAAATGAGTTCCACGATATGACTACATGCCCATGGGCGAACATACTTGAAGTCTATCACCATAAAAACAAACCAAACTGGAGGCAAAGCGATCCAGCCAAATGGATGGACCCAGTTCTTGGTCCGTGGGAGATAGCGAAACTCTTCCTTCCTGATCTGGGTGGACATGCTGATATCAAGAGTGCAGACGACATGGACGTCACTGGTATCTTAAACCTAGTGAACTGGTGCAATCACTTCACCATTCCTCAGGCTTTGATTAAAGATGTCCGCAGCACTCGAAACAGATGGTGGGGGCATGTTCCGAGGCTTGAGTTGACCGATGCAGACAAAAATGTCGCCTTTGACTTCATTGAAAACCTCCTGAAGACTCCTCAACTAGGTTCAGATCCAGACGCACAAAAAGCACTCGCAGAAATTGTAAATCTTAGAAGTATTTCAAACTTGCACAGTTTCGAGGCTCACGTTTTAGGCGAGCTCATAGAGGTGTTGAAGTTCAAGACAACTCATATGGCGGAATTAGAACAGATGAAAAAACTGGTGTTTCTTTTGGAAAAGAGGTTGGAAGACCTGGAGCAAAAGGAAGTCTGTTTGTCACTTTTCCACTTAACGCGAAATGCTTTGAAAATCGTGCACAGCAATCTCGTAATAAATCTCAAAGGGATCAGAAAGACTATTTTAGTAATGTGGCTGGTAATGGCTTTCTCTTTCTCGTTCTTTGTAGTAGAGCTGGACGATGATTCTTTTATCAGAGGTAATAAGTTGTTTTAAAAAGTTTCTATTAGTAACTTTATCTCCGTTGCGTGAGCCGGTTAAGTTAAGATAATGATTCGTTCCCTCTTTGAGGCTTGTTTGACAAAGATTCAGGTCAGTGTTCAGGATATACTAACAAAGTATCTTCTCCAATTTACATGTGGTTATACAGCTCTTAAATCGTTGTTTATGATTAATTTCCTTCCTAAAATTTTAAAAACCCTGCCTAATGTTTTCGTCATGCATATGAAGTGAAATCAGGAGCCTAACCATAGGTTTCATTTCCCGTTTTAATGACGCAATCAGTCGTCATGCAGGACACTTAATCGAGTAGTTAATGGGCCCTAGACCCTCTTTGAGAACATCAAACTTCAAAGGATGTCCTGGTCATCTTGTCATAACTAAGTTTAGACACTTGAGATACCCTTCACTGGTCGATAAGGATAACAACAGTTAATTTTTTTTTCTGGCAGGTTGTCCGTCGGAAGATCTTAGTGTCCCATTTGACACAAAAGAATTTGTTTGGTTGGATTACTTAAAAAGTGCCAAAGAAGGGTTCATTGGCCGCAGCTGGCTTTTTCGAGAACTAGAATCTTCTTTCCATCACACGGTTCATGAAAATGATATAACTGGTGTCCTAATAATTGGGAATCCAGGAACTGGAAAATCTGCTCTGTCTGCCCAATTAGTTTGCTCCCGAACATCAAGTCGCATCATCAACGAACGTATTTTAGGATACCATCTTTGTAAACATTCTGATAAGAATACACAGACTGCAGGAAAATTTGTGCGTAACTTAGCAGATATGATAGCAAGGAGAATACCAGAGTATGGTTTCCTTGTCTTCAATAGTTCCCACATCATGCGTTCACTGTACACTGACTGTGTAGCCATTCAAGATCCAGTGGGCTGTTTTGAGCAAGCGATTTTGACACCCTTGAAAAACCTACCTAACGTGCCAAACGGTAACTGGTATATTGTCATTGATGCTTTAGATGAATGCTTGACCCAAACAGAAATGCGGCACAGTATTATGTTTTTGCTCAAATCCAAGATTCCTAGGTTTCCATCATGGCTGAAGCTTGTAGTAACATCTCGTAACCAGTCAACCATTTCTTTTCATGCAGGCTACATGAAGAAATTAATTATTCACCCTCAAGACGATCGTAACTACCAAGACATCGAATTGTTTTTGACCACAAAATTTTATCGTGATGGTCCTCTGATTCATAGGGTAAATTCTTTGTTCGGAGACAGTAGCAAACAAAAGACTGACAAGTTGATTGATGCCCTGTTAAACAGAAGTCAGGGGAATTTTTTGTTTGTTAAAGAGATGATTCAACACTGGGAAACTTCAGGAATAACAAGAGATGATCCTTACGCTCTGCCTGATACACTTGAGGATTTGTTTCATAGTTACTTCCAAAGATACTACGGTGGGCGAGAAAAGTTTAAAGCTGTACGTCGCGTGCTAGAGCTACTCGTGGCAACATTTCAGCCACTGACAGAAAAAGAAATCTTTAACGTTCTGAGGACGAAAGAACCAAGCCTGGATGAGGAATACGATTTTAAAGATACAATTAAACCAATTGAACATTTCCTTACGTATGGAGAGAATGGTGTGGTAACGTTGTATCACCAGTCTTTAACGGAATGGCTCACTGGCGACAACACTGGAAACGAGCCATTCTTCGTGAGTAAAAGGAAAGGGCACGACACGTTTTGCGAATTTTATTTCAAAGTAATTGCTGAGGGTGATGGATCAGCTATATCAAAATACAGCTTTACTTTGGCGAGGCATATTTCTTATGGTGCGGAATTGAACCAGTTATACGTGAGAAAATTTTCTACCTTCCCCTCAGAGTTTGTTAATTGTTCAGATTCTAAAAGCCTTAGGACATCACTGCACCTTGCAGCTACAATAAACAACACAAATCTTCTGAAACTTTTGTTACCTCATTTTAGTTACGTCGATTCTGCTGATAGTCATGGAATGACACCTGCATTTTTAGCAGCTGAACACGGGCTTTTAGACAACCTAGTTTTTATAATGAGGAAGGGAGTCAATGTAAATCACAAAACGAAGTCACTTACCTCGCCTGATTTTAATCATGGCTATGGCTTTGCTGATGTAGTTCTTGAGTCAAAATCTAAATTCAGAAGTTCTACTATGCTTCATGCTGCAGCTCATGGAGGCCATCTGAACGTTGTCCACTTCCTTCTTAGTAAAGGTGCATCCATCTCAACTTTAAACGATGTTCATCAAACGGCACTCCAAGTAGCTGCCGAAAATGGACATTTGGAAGTTGTTAAAGCTTTACACGAGGCAGGCGGAGTTCCAGATCAAACAGCTTTGTTTCAGGCAGCAGCGAAAAATAGGTTGGATGTAGTAAAATACCTTTTGAAAATGGGCGTGGAGGATAAATGTTTGAGATGTGACGGTTCTTTCTACTGGCTGGAGGGGGAGACCCGGCTACAGACTCAAATTAAACGCTTAAAAATGAGTGTGTTATTTGACACCCTAGAAATGTTGTATGGCGAGCTATTCGACGACAAACATTTAATTTTTTGTCAAACTGCACTCTACGCATCAATATCGTTTGGTTATAAAGAGGTCACAAAGGAACTAGTTGCTAAGGATAAGCGGGCTTTAACCTGTCATGATTACACAGGAAGGACACCTTTGCATGAAGCCGTTCGAAAGAATGACAGAGAAATGGTAGAATTTCTGCTGATGGAGGGACAAGCAAAGATTGAATCAACTTGTAACCATTGGCAAGTTGTATCAAATGTAACCTTGAGTCGTGAAGAATTCTCCGAATACGTCAGGGATGTCTGCCATTGTGGTTATACTCCCCTTCATTTGGCAGCACGCTATGGGTACCGAGAAATTGCGGTTTATCTTATAAAAAGCGGGGCACGGGTTGAAGCTCAAGACTGCTTTGGAGCGACTCCAATTCACATAGCTGCTTGCCATAATCATACGAAAGTATTGCATGTCCTTCTGGAATTCGGTGCTGAGATCAGCTGCAAAACGTTTAACGGGTCGATGCCCCTTCATAGTGCTGCAGCATGCGGTGCCCTTGAGACGATCGATCAGTTACTTCATTATGGGGCAATCCTTGACGCTGGTGACGATAATGGCCTTACCGCGTTACACTATACTATACTCAACGTAAATTCTAGTAATGTTGAAAGGCGATTCTTCACCGATGTCAATGGGATGGTAACTGAACGTAGAGGTCATCTTGCTGATTTTTATCTGGACGAAAACAACAACTTAAAAAACATGGACTTTTACAGATGGTTAGATGTATTAATCCGGTTGTCCCTTCGAGGCGCTAATATTAATGCGGTCGATGTCTTCGGTCGAACAGTTTTGCATATAGCAGCCGCGAACGGATTGGCAGATGCCGTAAACGTACTCTTGTTGAGGAAGGCTAAACTTGAAGTGTCTGACAAAACTGGTCATACGCCGTTAGAACTAGCAGTAAAAAACTCCTCTCCCCCACCAGAGGCATCACTTTTCTTTGATGAAATTAGTCCACAACAGCTTCGACAACATTTACGTGATCACGGAATGGTCGTCTACCTTCTACTCGCTAATGGTGCATCTTTAAATAAATGCGATCATCGCAGTAAGAGTCTGTTACATCATAGCATTCTTAATGGTGAGCCTTACATTGCGCAGCTTCTGTTATTTTTGGGAGCTGGTATAAACTGCAAAGACAATAGCGAAAAAACAATTCTCTTAGCTCTCCTTCTTCGTGGTCACAATTGGGCTCATCTGGCTCTTAAACACCACGTACCTATTACGCTTGAATGTGGAAAGCCATTTAACACTTCAGTTTTTCATTTAATTTGCTACAACTCTCCAATAATGAAATATGGTAACTTTTTCCAATACATCTCTTGTGATGATCGTACATGTTCATCAAAGAATGGACCATTAATTACTGCTATTGAAATGCATCCTCTGAAGTTCAAATTAGTCGATTCCTGTTTAGATGCCGAAGGATATACACCTTTACAAAGAGCTGTCCAAGGTGCAAACTTAATTGCAGTTCGTAACCTCATAAAGCATGGTGCAAACGTTTCCTTATTGAATCCACATAGACATGACGCCTTAACTATGGCTCTTCTCAACAAGAGGTTAGACGAAAACGCAGAAAATCATGGTATATCTGCAATGATTGAAACTTCTGCTGTGGCACTGGAGCTCCTTCGCCACAAAATGAGACGTGGCTTTCAAATCGTGTGTGATTCCAGTAAAACTGAACTTACCCTGTACCATTTGGCAGCCTCCCGCGGCCTTTTAAACTTCATTCATGAGATCTTTGAAAACAAGAAGCTTCATCAGTTAGATGTTAATTGTCCTAACAAGGACGGAATTACTCCAATGTATCTGGCAAAGATATTCTGCGGTTCCTTCGGGATCGATGTCTGCTTCTTGTGGGACCTCGTTGTCCAGTTCATTGAAGACCAAGGGGGCAAGATGCAATATCCTGGCAAAGATGCTGAATACAATGTAATCTATAACAGGTTGTATGGTGGGACTCCGACGGAAGTAAAACCACAATTAAGGCCCGATGTTCGTTACTTTGTCTCTAGACTTGTGTCGACCCTTAGTTATAGGCAAAGCCACTCTATGGATTGTAGGGTTATTCAATTATTACACAGGAATAGATCGGATCGTGGACCAACCTTATTTAATATTATAACGGAACTTCAAAGGGAACTAGTGTTTTTAGAAGTTCAAAGTTGTCGGTCAACAATATCTGAGAATATTTGCAAAAAGGAACAAAAAAGGGTTAATTTCCGGCAATATGTTTATCTCAGGGATAAAGTCGTATCTGGTGTGTCTTCTTCTGAATTGCAATTAAGGCTTTTTAATTTAATGAGGTGGTGGTATGAGGAGGTATTCGGGCTTTTGTCTTGTCTAAAACTTACTTTTCATAAACATCGACAGTATTTTATGGACAAAAAGAAACTGAACAACCTTATTAAGCAATATGAGGACATCCAGTCGTTGAGTCATCTTAACGAACTATGCATCACATTTGAGGCTACTCTCACGAGCCATTTATGGCACTATTTAAAGGACGGTGGTGTTCTTGAACTGGGAGTCCTATACCCTCCAGACTTTTTAAAACAGCGAATGGGATGGAGTAACAGAGTCAGCTTTGCTAATTTGTGGCCAATAGGGTTCCTGGTTAACTTTAATCTAGGTTTCTATCGTCGGTATGATTATTTAAAAGTTCTTAACTTCGGATTAAGATCAAGGAAGCGTGCCTCAATCCATCCATTCATTTAAACAAAATTACATACAAGAATGCAGCGGGAAGTTTTCAGTCAGAACAAAATAATAATATCCATTCAGGTAAAGTCAAAATGTAAGAACAGCATCTTATCTGGAAGCAAATGTTTTTTACAGTGACACTTGAAAATAACTGATTGGTAGAAAGTCTCGAACGTATAGAACAATTTGATAAATATTTTGTGAAAAAATCACGCAATTTAAACGACATCAACTCAAAACGTTTCTCCAGTCGTTGCTTCGTGCACAATTTTAGCCAGATCTTTTTTCCCTTCAATGAGTTTATTTTTTTTAATTGCTCCAATTTAAAGGGTACAATTTGTACACCAAAATTGTGCAGTGAAAAATATAGGTCAACGTACTCGTTCAAAAGCTAAAGACCATCGTACCTTTTTACCTGGTCCATTGATGTGTAATTATACCATGTTCTCGGAATGCACGCGCTTATTCGCCTAATTACGTCATTTTTATGCGCAGTACAGGACGCTCAGCGCAATCTTGAAGAATCACCCTAAGATTAGCAGTAACCATTGTCTTCTTGCATTTTGCTAGTTTGTCCTCACTCCCCCTGAAAATTGAACACGAGAAGGCCTTCCGCAGACTCTTCTTTCTCTGTTTGCCGCTCTGTGAGTAGGGACGAAAAGCGGTTAAAAAGGAAAAGTTTGCTCTCTGCAAAAAAAACGGGATTCTTTTATCGGTTTATGAAACAATAGCCATTATTATTTCCAATGAGGAATTTTATCTTTTCTTTTAGATGTAATGTTGAAAATAATTATTTTGATCAATGTATTACCGGCATTAGGTTTGTGATTTCAATCGTGCAATTCGTTTGGAAAAGTGTGTTATCATGCAGTTCTTTTAGTAGTACACTGGTAGGGTAGAAAATTGTTGTAAAAAGTGACAGCGATAAAAAAAACTAATTAAAAAGTACGCCTACAAGGCAACAACAATTGCATTCATAATCAGTATAACGCGCATTCCAGCCAGAAATATGTTTCTGTTATTCCCGACCTGTTCGCTTATTTTTCTGAGAATTAACTTCTTATTAAGCGAGCGCGAGAGCAGTCTGTACAAAAACAACCAGGGGTCATTATTCCCCAGTACGGCTAGAGCAAGCGACGTTAGTGAGTAGTTTATTATGTGGCACTGGGATCAAATTTTTTATTTTGAATTTGCAGCTATCGCGAACAAAATACATGGCTATTGGCCTTTTCCGTGGAAATGGTCCGTAGGGCTAAAATCTTGACCGAACAAGAATCTATAAGAACGCTCGGACTGTCCTCGAGACTACCAACATCTAGTCGCATCATTCATGACCGCATATTGGGATATCATCTGTGTAAACATTCTGAAAATAGTACTCAAAGTGCAGGCAAGTTTTTTCGTAACTTAGCTGGGATGATAGCACAGAGAATCCTGGAAAACAGTTTCCTTGTCTCCGACATCTCGTGCATTCTGCGTTCATTACATACTGACTGTGTGAACAGTCAAGGTCCAATGGGTAGTTTTAAACAAGCAGTTTAGTCACCGTTGAAAAACCTCATGAAAGTACTCTAGAGAAAATTGGTATTTAGCGATTGATGCTCTCGATGAATGCCACAAAAACAGGATCTAAACCAGGTATCATATACCTACTTACCATCTCTCTCATTTCTATCTACAAACATTACGCTTTCGACATTGCTGATCCTAGCAGTACGTAGGACGCGTGTCATATGAACTTCGTAATAGACCTCGCTCACCGTGGAGTCTCTGTGGCTCAGTGGTTAGAGCATCGGAGCGCGGAATCCAAAGGTCTGAGGTTCGATTCCTCATGGGGACTCAAATTTTTTCTTTGTCCCACGCTCGTGACAAGACGAAAAAAAATCTTTCTTTAGGTATCATATATTTGCTCAAAACACACTTTCCCGTTTTCCATCTAATGACAGCTTGCGATGAAATCTCGTAATCAACCGTCCGTTTCCTTTAATCTAGGGAGGATGAAGAAGCTAGTCATTGACCTAATGATCTAATGACAGCTTGCGGTGACATCTCGTAATCAATAGCCCGTTTCCTTTAATCTAGGGAGGATAAAGAAGCTAATCACTGACCCTAAAGACTCTAGAAACATTGGAGATATCGAAGTGTTTTATTTCAAAATGGTCCTTTGCTCCCCAGCGTTGTAGCTTGGTTTGGTGATTCAAGCCTAGGAAACACAGCCAAGTTGATCTCTCTTTTGTTAAGCAAAAGTCAGGGAAATTTCCTGTTTGTTAAAGAAATGATCCGTCACTGACAAGCTTCAAGAAATCCAAGGAGTGATCCATATGTATTGCCTGAAACGTTAGAAGAGTTTTATCATAATTACTTCCAAAGATTATACCATGGAGACGACCACTTCAAACCTATGAGACAGATTTTAGAATTACTCGTGGCAACTTTTCAGCCACTTACGCCGAAAGAAGTTTTGGACGTTCTTTGAGTTCAGGAAGCCAACCTGGAACAAGAGTATAATTTTCAAAATAGAGTGAAGGAGCTTGGACATTTTCTGAGATGCGGAAAGGATGATACAATGACACTGTATCACTTGTCTTTAATCGAGTGGCTTACAAGCGACAATGGCAGAAATGGGAAATTTTAAATAGGAAAAAAGGACACAATGCACTTTGAGATTTTTACTTTACCGAGGGAGGTAAGCGTGCGTTATTAAAGTAAAGTCTCCCATTGGCGCAACACATTGCTAACGGCGGTTGAAAGGAGGCATACGTAGAAAAAATTCTCAGATTTCCTTCTCAGGTTCTCAATTCGTCGAGTCCTGAAAGTAATAGGACGGTTTTTCGCCTTGCAGCCACCATAAATAGCACAGAAGTGCTTGAGCTTCTGTTGCGCCACTTTAATGACATCGATTCCGCTGATAATTTTGGAAAAACACCTGCATTTTTAGCGGCTGAGCATGGACTTGTAGACAATCTGTCTCGAAGAAAAGAGCCAATGTAAATCTAAATATTTGGAATCGAAATTGAAGTTTAGGGGGGCCACAATGCTTCCCACTGCAGCTCATGCAGTCCATCTGAAGGCTGTAAATTTCCTTCTAGACAACGGAGCTTTTATTTCGGTAATAAACGAAGTTAACCTAACGGCACTTTAGATAGCCGCTGAGAAAGGACATTTAGAAGTTGTGAAGTAATTACATAAGGCAGGTGAAGTGGCCGATCAAACCGCTCTGCATCATGCAGCACAAAACAACAAGTTAGATGTGGTAAAATATCTTTTGGGTATGGATGTCAAGGATACATGCATGAAATGTGATGGCTCTTTTTATTGGTTGAAGTCGGAAATGCACCGGTTACAGTCTAGAGTTAGAAAAACAACTATTTTTTCCGACGTTTTTAATGACATCCAAGAGTACGCTGTAGTCTCCCGCGGTAAGTTATTGGATGATGAACATTTAATCTATTGCGAAACTGCGCTCCACACAGCAATATCTTCAGGTCATAATAAGGTAGTCAAGGAGCTTATATCTGAGGACAAAAGTGCGCTAACGTGTCAGGATCATTCAGGAAGAACACCATTACACGAAGCTGCTAGAAGAAATAACAGGGAAATAGTGACTATTCTGCTTAAGGAAGATCAGACAGAAATAGAATCAACATGCGATTACGAAGATTATCAATATGACAGTTTCTATGGCAATCTTTTAATCATGAGTGACGCAGAATTGATGGAATATAAACAGATAAATGCCCTCGTGGATACACACCTCTCCACTTAGCCGCTAGGTATGGACACTGGGAAATTGCAACTGATCTCCTACGAAACAGGGCAGTGGTTTGGGCCAAAGACTTTCTGGGAGTGACTTCGCTTCATATAGCCGCTTGCCATAATCACCGACATGTGGTGAGGGTCCTTGTTAAGTTCGGTGCTAACATTAGTAGCAAAACTTTGAACGGATCGACGCCTCTTCATAACGCTGCAGCATGTGGGGCTTTAGAGGTAACTGACCAGTTAGTTTACCATGGAGCGATCCTTGATGCAGCTGATGACAATAACCTCACAGCATTGCATTATTGTATCCTTGACGTACATTCTAACCATTTCAGTGGTCATCCCAGGCTTGCAAAGTTTTACGATGATGACAAGAACTACGTAAGGAACACAAACTTTTTCCAGTGGCTGGATGTATTTATCAATTTGATGATACTCGGTTCCAATGTAAATGCAGTCGATTTGCATGGTCGGTCGGTGCTGCATTTGGCTGCTAAAAATGGTTTGGCCGACGCTGTCAACGTCCTCATGAAGAAAAGTCACAGCTTGACGTTTTGAGAAGTCTGGTGAGACACCATTGGCAGCAGCTATCAAGAACGTCGCAGTGGGACCAAAGCAATGGATTTTTACGACTGGAGATACCATAGATCAGCTTCAAGAATATCTAAGTGATCACGAAATGGTGGTATATCTTCTTCTCTCATCTGGAGCGTCATTGACGAATTGTAATCATTCTAGGGTGAGCTTGTTCAACCATGCTATTATGAAAAATCGGCTGCTCATCGTTCAGCTTCTGCTATTTAAAGGAGCAAGTGTCAACTGTAAAGATAACCAAGGAAGGACACCTCTCCTAACTTATCTTTAAGTTGGTGGTGACTGGGTAGACGTGGTCCTTAAACGGTTCAATGCTCCAGTTGATATAAAGTGTGGAGAGCCATTCAACACCTCTGAGCTACATTTGATTTGTTATACCCCTCCGAGCACGGTGAATGATAATTTTTTCCAACAAATCTCTTGTAACGTTAACTCGTGCTCCTCTAAAACAGGACCTTTATTCACAGCAATTGAAAACCACCCTTTGAAGTACAAACTAATCGATTCCTGTCTAGATGCTGAAGGATTTGCACCTCTACACAGAGCAGCGCAAGGAGCAAACACAGTTGCTGTTTTCAACCTCATAAGGCTGGGTGCAAATCAGAGTTCGCTTAGCCCCGATGGGTACGATGCTTTGACACTAGTTCTTCTCCATGCTGGGAATACCTCATGGTGGTTTCCCGACCAATATGGTCACTTGAAATCTTACAAAGCTTCTGTTATTGCTCTGGACCTTCTTCGCCATAAAATGAAAACAAGTGGCTTCCGAATCATATGTGACTCCAGTAAAGTTGAGCTGACCCTATACCACTTGGCGGCCTCTCGAGGCCTTCTACACTTTATTAGGGGGATTTTTAATTATAAAGACTTTTATCAGTTAGATGTTGATTGTCCTAACAGAGATGGAATAACACCATTGTACTTAGCGAAGTTATCGAGCAACCGCGAGGAGGGTGGTGTGTTTAAATATTCAAACACTTGGGCCGGGATTGTGGAGTTTATTGAGAACCTAGGAGGTCAGATGCAGTATCCTCGTAGACATGCTGAATACAATGTCATCTATTATAGGTTGTACGACTGGATTCCGAAGGAAGCAAAGTTTAATTTAAGACCCGGTGTCCGTAATTTCTTCGCCGAATATCTGTCTTCTGTTGGTCATGGGTATGTGACTTCTATGAGTTGTGAGTCTCTAATTTCACACGAATTGGAGTTACGTTTTGAAAATTTTATGCTTCCCACTTTTGCAGAATTAATCAAGCAACGTCTGCTTTCAAAACGTCGAGGTTTTCCTCTAAGGATACCAAACTTCGTCTGCGTAAATGAACTTAAGAGGTTGTCTTTATGGCTTGACAGATATTTAGATTCTAGCCATGCATATGGTGAGTTAAAGTCTTCTGAGTTAGAATTGAAACTTTTTTATATGATCAGAGCCTTTCATGAGGAAAGATTTGTCTTGTTACCTTGTTACAAGATGGCTTTTTCTAAATATCGACCATATTTCGTGGATAAGATAGAAATTCAAACACTTATAAAACAGTATGAAGATAACATGCTGCTAAACCAGTTAAGCAGAGTTTGTCATGAAGTCACACACAACAAATTTTTGGCTAATTTTCTATAATAAATATTATAGCGGAGAGATCAGAGACCAGAACTATCCAGACTTCATAAGAGAGCGAATGGGATGGCAAACAAGTAGCCAAGCGATACGTACATTTTTTGAACATTGGCCAGCCGAGTTTATCATTAAATTTACGCTGGGGATGTACCGTCAGTATGATTATCTTAAAAATTTTGACGTTGGATTGAAACCAGGGTCTCGTGTTTCAATACAGAATGGAACTTGAAGTAATGATGAAGTAATAATCTCGAATTACGACAACGGTATAAGGTGAAACAGTATGTAGTGCAATGTAACAGTTGATTAAGTGAGTCGAATTTACGTACGCTCTGAAGTAATTTAAAGGTTTCTTCGTGAAGGTCGTATAAAAATAATGTTTTAACAAGAATGATAAAAATATGGAACCAAATCAAAAAGAACCTGAAAATAACGTCATTAGTTTCGGGAAGAATTTTTTTCTGGTAAATTTAGAACTATCATGCTCAGTAACAAGGCTCAGACAAAGCTTGTTAACAACACCAATACAGCGACAAAAGGAATTTAGTCCATTCGAATTTGTCTTTCCTTGAAAACTGGGCTTCTTGTAGACATAATCAGAGTTTTGTACTAGCTCCTTAACCTTGAAATTAAATGAAATAAAATTGAAATTGAATTTCCTTGGATGGAAAACAGCTCCAATTCCAGTTCGATGTGGACTGACAACTTCGTGAAGGTCTACAACAAAGAATAGGTGCGAAGCAGATAAACTCAAACATGCTCTAGAGTGGAGAAACTTGAATCATCAACGTATGATCAATGTTCTACCTTAATCTATGAAACGTTGCACAATTATACCCCAGAATAATCATGAAGTCCAATTTCATTGAAAGAACGATCTTACCTCGTATAATTTGAGAAAATCTGTGAGTAAGCTTGCAATTCTATTTCCTCACAAATGATTTTACAGTATTGCAGTGTGGTGGAATAGCTTATCTTGAATCGAGTGTCATCGCTAACAGAGTTTAATACTCCTAAAAAACCGCCACAACTTCCAAAGGGAATGAATCATTATTTTTCAATCACTTTATTTTTGTGATATCCGTAGCACGCATCCGTAAACTTAGTTAGGATTAACGGTGGCTAAATAAGTGAATAAAGTTCTTTACAGTGGTAGCGTTCGTAAAACTGAGAGGAAGTTAAGTCCTCTATTGGCCTAAGCAGAACCTCAACAACAACGTCATTTAACCCTCAGACAAACACAACATAGTCTACGGGACACGGGCAGGTATTTTCATCCTTTATTTTTTCCGGATACGAGCAAGTATTAATAATGTATGATTTACAGACAATTAACCCCTCATACTATACTTGATCAGCAGAAAAATATGTGTTTTTTGTTGGCTGGGAGGTCCGTAGGTATGAAACTGTGACAGAGGTCTTGAGGGCCGAGGGCAGCATTTTCATGGCCAGCATCGCAGTTTTTCACCCTATTGAACGGGAAACAACTTTTATATTTTTTTCCTCTCTCTACCTTAGGTCGATTTTGCTGCCTGCGCTTCCAAAGGAATTTTATAAACACAAATGTGTCACTATCATACCTGATTCGGCTTCCAAATACCGTTTATTAGACGCCTTATGCATGTTTACGTTGGAGTACGTAATTTCATTAAATTAACGGGGAATTAACAGGCGGGGAATTAATTAATCAAGAGAATTTATCAGCTCCTAACGAATTCACGTCAATCGTACTCTTTGGAAAATTTGAACACCCCAAGATTAGATAAGATGAAATAGATAGGGCTGGATAACACCCTAAGGCTCTCAATCATTACTCTCCTTTCGTTCCCTTACGGTCAGATTGCTCCTGACGAATTATGAAACTTTATTCAAAACAAGAATGATAAAAATATGGAACCAAATAAAAAGAACCTAAGCTTCTCTGTCATATTTGAAATTTGAACAATAAAAAAGCTAATGTGTAACTCCTTTTCGGCCTTTTCTATTGAAATTTCCTTTTCTGTCACCTCTTTCCTTTTTGTGGGATTGCTTTGTAACGAAAATGGAGAAAGTTGTCAGGGAATTTCTCTTGTGTTCAGGGTAATGAGTTGAGTTTTCATCTTCTTCATGGTAAGCTCCGTAAAATATCAATCTCTACGTAGTTCCTGTGCAAAGAGAGAGACTATCAACGCCATTTTTTTCGCTGTTGCAAATGTGAATTTGCCTTCTTTCGAGAGCAAAACATAAAAGGTTTATGATCACTTCAGTGGAAACAGTCCGTATAGATAAAAATATTTCGACAACGAGAGAACCAGGGGGGAAATGAACATCAAATATAATTATGGTTGGTTTTTTCTCCTAGTTTCTATTATTATTCTATATTTTTTTATTTTAGCAAAAACATCAAAATTCAAATTCAGGACTGCTATCTCTTATTTGTTCAGCATACAACGTCGCTGTAAAATCTTGACTAAAAAACTTAAAATCTTACTAAACGGGAGAGAGTCGCTTAAATTTGATGTTAAACATTGAAATGTTTAACCTATCTAAGATTAAAGGAAACGATCAATTTTACAGTCTAAGCGTCAAAGAAATCTTGAGGAGGGCTTAAAACGAGTTCTTGATTCTGAAAGTATTTTTCTTACCTTGTCTGTAAGCAAAGAAATTCGAGTTTCCGGTCCAAGTCCAACGTTAAGAACCTTTAGATAGTCGTACTTACGATACAGGTCGAAGGAAAATTTAACTAGAAATTCTAACGGCCAAAAATGAGAATTATTCTTGTCATCGACAGTCCATCCCATTCGCTCCCGTGCGAAGCTTGGATGCTCGAAAAAATATACGCTGAGCTCTGGGTAATTAACGTTGGTTAAATGATAAATATTATGTAAATTAAATCCAATCTGCAACCATGAACAAATATTTTGTAAATACCAAAGCGGGGTGCCGTCTTCATACTGCTTAATAAGTTGTTTAGATTTTCTGTCATCCTGGAAAAATGGCTGATTATTATCGAAGACTATCTTATAACATGCAAAGTGTTGGAATACTTCCTTGTGCCACATCATCATTAAATGGTAAAGAATTGAGTTTATGTGGTACAACTTGATTTCGAGTGGAACCTCGGACCGGAAAATTGCAGGATCTAGGTGTCTTCTATATTCCTTATAGGAATAATCATATCTCTGTAATTCTTTCCGACAAATGGCGATATCCTGCTCAGCAAGTTTCACAATGATCCCCAAGCAGCTCCGGCGTTTAAGCAGGTTTAACTGGTTTAACAGTTCCGTTGAAATGTTCAATGTTAAGGAGGGGTTACCAATCTCGTTGATGACTGGCATTAGAGCTGATTTGGGTTCGCAGTCCCTTGTTGTAGTTGTGCTATTCATGTAAGTAGATAACAGTCCAATGACAAAACTCTGAACGTCAGGCCTAGGATTCAGTTTGAAGCTCGTTGGGCTCCAACCATACAACCGGTTGTAGATCAAATTTAGTTCAGCGTCTCTGTTTGGGTATTGTGTTTGACCTCCCTGGTTCTCAATAAACTGTACAACTTCAGCCCAAGGGTTATAAAGGTCAATTTCGGTCACATTACTACTACATAGTTTAGCCAAGTACATTGGAGTAATTCCATCCTTGTTTGGGCAATCAACATTTAACCTATGAAGTTCACCGTCTCTGAAGATCTCCTTAATAAATTTCACTAGCCCACGAGAGGCTGCCAAGTGATACAAAGTCAGCTCAGATTTGCTGGAGTCACACACAATTTGGAAGTCAGTTTTCATTTTGTAACGAAGTAGTTCTAGGGCTACGTCAGAAGCTTCATCCATTTTTAATTGTTTAGCTTCAGTTCTCATAAAAGGCCACAAATTACCTCCACTATAAAGAATGGCTAGTGTGAGGGCGTCATGCCCCTGTGGGCTTCGTAAGGAAACATCGGCACCATTTTTCACGAGGTTACGAACAGCAACTATGTTGGCTCCCTTGAGCGGCTCTGTGTAACGGTGTAAATCCTTCGGCATCCAAACAAGAATCGACGACTTTGTACTTCAAATGGTGCCTTTCAATAGCTTTTTCTAAGGGACTATCTTTTGAACATGTTTGATCATCACACGAGATTTGTTGAAAGAAGTTGTAATCCTCAAGCTTTGGAGAGAAATAACACATTAAATGAAATAAAGATGAGTTGAATGGCTTTCCGCACTTAATCTTCATGGAGCCTTTCAAGAAGATCGCATCTGCCGATGGCCAATCTCCACCATTGTGAAGAAAAGCCACAAGAGGAGTCCGTCCTAAATGATCCTTGCAGTTCATGTTGGCTCCCTTTAAAAGCAGCATCTGTGCAATATATGGCTGGTTATTCAGGACAGCGCGATGTAATATGCTTTCACCAGAGCTATTACACTTTGTAAATGAAACACCGGACGAAAGGAGAAGGTGTATGACCAAATCATGATCTTGCAAATATTCACGCAGGGCCCGAAAGTTCTTGTCATGAAGGATTACGCGCGAATGCTCGGGTAATACCCTGGCCTTTTCGATTGCCACTTCCAATGGTGTTCTCCCCAACCTGTCGTGCATTTCAAGCTTTGCTCTTATTTGCAAAAGAACATTGACTGCATCAGCCAAACCGTTTTCAGCTGCTATGTGCAATGCTGATCGACCTAATTTGTCAGCAGCATTCATATCAGCACCATGTAGGATCAAATGAATAAAAGCATCTAACCACTGATAAAGATCTGTGTTCTTCAAGAAGTTTCTCTCATCATAAAAACTAGCAAGATGGCCTCTACGGTCAACCGTTACCAGATGGAGTACGTTTTCGTCGCTGATCGAATTCACGAGAAGTTGTCGATCAAGTTGATTTGAAGTTATGTTTCGTATGGAATAATGCAAAGGCGTGAGCCCGCTGTCATCGATTTCGTTAATGTTTGCTCCATGGTAAATTAAATGGTCAATTGCCCTAATAGCACCACATGCTGCGGCACTGTGAATGGGTGTCGAGCCGTTAAACGATCTGCTACCAATGTCTGCACCGTATTTCAAAAGAACATATATGATATCCCAGTGATTATGACAAGCAGCTACGTGAAGTGGTGTTCCACCAGAGCAGTCCTTAGTTCCAACACCTGCCTTGTTTTCCAAAAGAGTAATAGCAATCTTCCAATATCCATAGCGCGCAGCCAGATGGAGAGGGGTGTATCCGCAGTGACATACATCTCCGTGGTATTCACTGGACTCTTTAAAGCTCAGCACCAAACTACGATTTGTCTCAGTTTGCGGCTGAACGTCCTGCCATCGATCACATGTTGAATGTATCTTTGCTTCATCTGTCGAGAGCAGAAATTTGACCAGTTCTGAACTGTTCCTTCGAACGGCCTCATGTAGTGGAGTCCTTCCTGAGTAATCACGACACGCTAGCGCCCATTTGTCTCTTGAGACGAGCTCCTTGATTATCGCTATATGACCTAAGGAGACTGCTGCATGGAGCGCAGTATTACAGAAAATTAGATGTTTGTCGTCGAACAGTTCGCCGAGTTCAATATTTTTGGTGACAGCATCGCGTTTAATACATTCATCGTCTATCAGCAGGCCATTAGCTGATCTATAGCTTGATTCGCAGTGTCTATCGATGGGAAAAGAAAAACTCTCTAACCAAATTTGGCTTTGATAACGGTGTTTAGTCTTAAGCCAATGGAGAGATCCATCACATCTTATGCATTTATCCTTGACACCGATTTGCAAAAGGTATTTTACAACGTCTAGCCTGTTGTTTACGACTGCATGATGTAAAGCAGTTTGATCTGCAACTCCGCCGGATTTGTAGAGAGCTTTAACAACCTCTACATGTCCATTCTCAGCAGCAACCTGAAGTGCTGTTAGATGAACATCGCTTTCCGTAGAAATAAATGCACCGTTTTCGAGAAGGAACTTGACAACCTCCAGGTGGCCTCCGTGAGCAGCAACATAGAGCATTGTGGCCCCCCAAAATTTTGATTTAATTTCAGAAAAAGGAATGTCATAACTAATGTCGTGTATCATAGATGAATCTTTACCATTAAGTTTGTACTTTGGTCTTCATTGACTTTGTTTTACGATTTACTCTAGCTCCTTTCTTCACCAATAAAGCCAGATTTTCAACAAGTCCATGCTCGGCCGCCAAAAGTGCAGGCGTTATTCCACGCTTATCGGCACAGTCTATGCAACTGAAATGGCGTAGCAATAGTTCTAATACATCTGTGCTATTGATCGTAGCAGCATGATGCAGTAACGTCCTCCTGTTTCCTGAGTCTGATGAATTGACGACGTGTGAAGGGAAATTGAGAAATTCTTTAACATATGCCTCCCTCCAACCGCCACAGGCAATGTGTTGCGCCAAAGTAAGAATATATTTTGACAGCGCAGATTTACCTCCATCACTAATAAGCCGAAGGTAATAGTCACAAAAAACTTCGTGACCTTTCTTTTTGCTGACATAAAATGGGCCATTTTCATTGCTGTTGCCTGTAAGCCACTCGGTTAGAGACAAGTGATACAACGTCAATGTGTTATTCTTTCCATATCGTACAAAATGCCCAAGTTCTTTCATTCGATCTCGAAAATCGTAATCTTCTTCCAGTTGTTTTTCATTCATCTTGAGTACGTCAAAAATTTCACGCTGTGTCATTGGATGAAACGTTGATACAAGTAATTCTAACACCCGACGCACAGGTTTAAATTGCTCTCTTGTATCGTATAATCTTTGGAAATAACTGTGGTACAATTCACCTAATGTTTCAGGCAGTGCATAAGGATCATTTCGTTTGACTCTTGTGGTCTCCCAGTGATGAATCATCTCCTTAACAAACAGGAAATTTCCCTGACTTTTACGTAACAAGGCAGAGATCAGTTTCGCAGTGTTTTCTACGCTGCTCTCACCGAACCAGGTCTTCACTCTATAAAGTAGTGGACCATCTCGATAAAACCTTGTGGTCAAAAACAGTTCGATGTCTTCGATATTTCGAGAATCTTCAGGATTGATGCTTAACTTGGCGATGCTACCTGAATTTAAAGATACACTCGATTCATTACGGGATGTCAACACAAGTTTCAGCCAAGATGGAAACCGAGGAAGCTTATTGTTGAGCAAATAAACGATGCTATGACTTGTTTCTGTCTTTGTGAGACATTCATCCAGAGCATCTATGACAATATACCAATTCTCCTTAGGTACATTTGTCAGGCTTTTCAGGGGTGACAAAACTGCTTGTTCGAAGCACCCTACAGGATCCTGGATGCCTACACAATCAGTATTTAGAGATCTCAGAATATAGGAGCTGTTCGAGACAATGTAACCATATTCTGGGATTCTCCGAGCTATCATTTCTGCCAAATTACGAACAAATTTTCCGGCAATTTGTGTGTTTTTGTCAGAATGTTTGCAAAGATGGTATCCCAATATATGTTCGTGGATAGTGCGACTTGATGAACGGGAACAAACCAATTGGGCAGCTAATGCAGACTTACCAGCCCCTGGATCTCCGACAATCATGACGCCAGAGAGAGTACTTGGGGGATGGAGAGCGTTTTCTATCTCATTATATAACCATCGACGACCAATGAAGTTTTCTCGAGCCCCAGCTAAGTAGTCGGTCAAGTTGAACTCTTTGGTGTCGAATGGAACACTGACATCTTCAGCTGGACATCCTTTAACATAAATAGATGAATGGATAAATAGTATGCTTTTATTTCATGGGCTGATTGACTTTATTTCTTTTGTTCTTATATCATTCACTTGTTGCGTACGAACTGCTGACGATGTATACGGAAATAACTAACAGTGACGTTTACTAAACTTTAATACCAACAAAGATAGAAAAAAACACGATATCATAATAACTCACCATCTCCATATGACTTGTCGTCTAAATTGCCAAATGAGACAAAAAAAGATCAAGAACATCATCAAAGTATAGACCGGCTTTTTCCTTATAGCTGTCGCACTTCTGACCAGGTAGCATCCAACGGTAAGCAGACGATAGACAAGGTGGCGTGGCACGGAAATAGTACCTTCCGTTTTTTTCTCCAAGTTTTCTTTCGCCCTTTGGAGCTTTCGTAATTGACCCTCTACACGACTACGTTGTTTCCGGTTTTTATTTGATTCCCTTTTAAACAATTTCAATTCACTCTTAAGGCCTGTAATGTCATTTTGGATCACCTGTTTAAAACGGTACAAAACCTCTGCTCTGAAAATGTGCACGTCTCTTTTGTGCTTTTCAGAGTTGAGATTTCCTGTAGGGCATTCCGGACATCTAAATCACTCGCAAGGGCTGGATCTTTGAGTAGTTCCTCAATTGCGTCAAAAGCATCCTTCTTTTCTATTTCGGACAACTCCAGCTTTAGTACATGAGCCCATTTTGTGTTTCGAATGTCTCGAACATCTTTTATCAGTGGGCGCTGGACGGTGAAATGATTGCACCAGAACATTAAGTTAAGAATATTGGTAATTTCCAAGTCATCGACACTTTCTATAACCGTATTAATTCCGACATCTGGGAGGAAAAGTTTAACTATCTCCCAAGGACCAATATTTGGGTCCAACCATTTACTGGAATCACTTTGCTTCCAGTTCAGCCTTCTTCCGAGGTGGTAACCTTGAAGGGCGTTTGCCCATTTGCAGGCTCCCATGTCATGGTACTGATTTGGTTTCCTTCCCGGATCATAAACACAGGTGCACGCTCCAGCTGCAATTGCTGCCCTTAAATTATTGTAGAAGGCCTCAGTTTCTCTCTTTATAAAAGGGCGAAGGCCTTGGCAGAGATGTGTTGTCAACGCCCGTCCAAGGGAAATCCAGTTTCCTTCTTCAGGTGTTTTCAGTTGAACAAATTCTTTAGATGAACATTCAGACATTGCTGTTTTAAGGAAAACATTGAATCGGTTAATGTATAGAGGGAATTGGTGTCACTAACATACTATTCACAACTAGCTACTGTTTAACTGTTTACGTGTTTCTCAGCTTAGAAACCTGAATTTCCCATTGCGGTGATTGCCCGTTTATGTATCACAATTTATCAACCGTTGATAATCCCACTGTGTATAAATATTTATTTTATTCAGTGTACCCTTAATCAACACCTAACGAGCTTTGCCCGTCGAAAATTTTTTTGCAAACTAAGCCAAGAGGTCTAAGAGCGCATTGAATGACTTGAATGCGCTCCAGGCTAATCCTAACTGCAAGTGAAGTTCATAGTTAGCGTCTCAGCATGATCGAGGTGTTTCATGAGAATTCTCGGTAATTGTGGTGAAAACGAAGGGTCTTCTAGTCTGCAACATAGCTTCATTGTCATCTTATCGAGTGATAACCACAGCTGCTTGATATCAGTCATTTTTCAGATATGCGATAGCCGCGTTAAGTACATCTGAAGGTCACACAGCAGAACGATTGACTTATCGTTTTAAGATATTGACCAGGTAGACGAAAACAGAACGGATAAAGAACAAAGACGAATTTTTTGAAAGTTCCCTTTCTATATCCTAATACAAGGGCAATCATCACGCAAGAGAAGTTGGTAGTAAAGCAGAAAATGTCAATACAATGGAATATATCCTGAGAAGAGGTATTTTTTTAATCGTAATTTTATGTATTAATTTATCAATTTATCTACTTGTACGACGAAATATCCGCTAGATCAAATTAGAAGGAGAATAATTTATGTATAGACATTGGGTGTGAAACACCGAAGCTTAAACATGTCTAAATCTTATATAAGAGATCCTCATATATGTGCATTGCGGTGAAGAAACGATTATAAGAGATCCTCGCAGCTATAAACACTACTGAACTAGTAGTTGAAATAAGACCCGAAAAACTTTCAGGCCTGTACGGGATTTGAACCAAGCTCCCAGTTTGCATGTTAGCTCAGTTGATAAGAGCGCTGCACCGGTATCGCAGAGGTCATGGGTTCAAATCCCGTACGGACCTTAATTTTTTCAGGCCTTATTTCAACCACTAGTATAGTAGTGTTTATAGCTGCAAGGATCTCTTATATTCGTTTCTTCACCGCAGTGCATATATATGATTTTCATATATCTACAATCATCATGTTTTAAACTTGTTTTAATAAACTAGTTTTAGTAAATTACCTGTTCACACCGCAGGCGCGTGTGACCAAACATGCCTAAAACCGTGTTTAATAAAACTACTTAAACGAGGTTGTTTAACGTTCGTGTTTAACTAATTACATAAAAGATGGCGGCTGCCAAAAAAACTCGCGGAAGAGTTTGGGAAAACCAGGAATTATTATTGCTAATCCAGAAGTGGGGGAACGACAGTGTACAAATGAAATTTTTGTCCTGTACAAGAAAGAGCCCTATATGGAAAGAATACGCGACTTTATTCGAGCGGCAGGCTACGAAGAGCGAGATAAAGACGCTTGGGAAACAAGAATTCACACTTATCGTTCTTGCAAAGATGAATGCGAAAAGACCGGAAACTGAACTACGAAGAGGAAGCCGGCGTTCTTCGACGAAGTCGATGAATTTCTTTCGCAAAAGCCATGTACAAAACCGAAGGTTGTGGTAAATTCCTCGCAAATTATCATCGGCGATTCTGAGGCGGACGATGAAGAAGACCGTGGAAACATAGAGAACGATGTACCAAACGAAGAGCTCCCGTCCTTCAGAGGCGGCACCAGCAGCGGCAGCAACAACAAAACAGCCGGCAAATTTCCTCAACTAAACATGGATGAATGTGTGATAGGTGAGCTTTCAAAACTTTCGCTGATTAGAGGGTCAGACAATGGGCCAAGAAAATGTTTCAATATCGGCGCCTGCGCTGTCTGTAACCTCTAACCTTACAATTTTACTTCCAAGATGAATGGAGTTGTACAATAATTGAGATAAGTATCACCTCAAACAGCCTTCAACATGATTTATTCTCGACTTTGACTTCTGCATTTAAAGATTTCTTGTATTCCTTTGTAGAAATAACAACAGATGCTAACAAGCCATTTTTAGAGATATTTGGCGAAAGTTCTTAATGCTTCTTTAGACATGCGAAAGTTCTCATTCCAGTCCTGTTCTTCCCAATCTTGGCAAGTCTCTTCCCAAAATATCTGCAACCGGGGTTCAATACGGAGAACTGGAAGATGATTAAGAAGAAATCGACGCATAAAAAAGAAAAACAATGACGAAAGGAGACGTCTCCGACAGACATAACGATTGAACCGTCTCTGCACGTTTTTCTATCGGTTTTGTGTAATTCTGGGGTTTTCCCTCTGACGTGACTGCGCCAACAATAGTAGGATATTGTGATTTAAACTGACCGCCATTTTGTTTGCGTGTTTATTTTTATTTTCAACAATCAACATCAAAACGAGGCTGCGCAATAACTAACCGTGTCTGCGGTGTGAACGGTTCTTGAATAACATGTTTTATGAGACCATGTTTAAAAAAATTACGTTCAATGAAACTTGTTTAAATTAGTGTAAACAGGGCATTAGTTTACAAGCTTCAGACCAACAAGCTTCCGGATACCACCTATGCCTTTTCCGATCAGCCTCCATTGTTTATTGCAGCAGTAAAAGGTATATGTACAATCAACAATTTTGAAGAATTGCTGAACATTTTATTTAGCCAAGTAAACTGTCAACATTTCGGATTTACAATGCGACTGTTAATTACAACTACAAATGATCTGTCTCTCTCTCTCTGTCTCTCTCTCTCTCTGTCTCTCTGTCTCTCTGTCTCTCTGTCTCTCTGTCTCTCTGTCTCTCTGTCTCTCTCTGTCTCTCTGTCTCTGTCTCTCTGTCTCTCTCTCTGTCTCTCTCTCTGTCTCTCTCTCTCTCTCTCTCTCTGTCTCTCTCTCTCTGTCTCTCTCTCTGTCTCTCTCTCTCTCTCTCTCTCTCTCTCTCTCTCTCTCTCTCTCTGTCTCTCTCTCTGTCTCTCTCTCTCTCTCTATATATATATATATATATATATATATATATATATATATATATATATATATATATATATATAAGTTGTTTCACCGCTGTCCGCTCGTACTTCGGTTTTTTTTTTTCTTCCCCTGCTCGTCGCCCGTGATGTAGTATCGTGGGCACACGGTTAGCATTACATGAAGGCTTCGCTTCACGTGGGCTAGTAACTGTGAAGTCGCGGGAGCAAATAATTTGCAACACGCGTTTTTAAACGGGAAATCGTCAAGTTTACTCTTGCCCCGAGGCCCAGAAAAATTCAAACCCTTTACCAGCTTCAGTTTGTAATTCAAATCAAGTTATTTCCTATCCTATCGTTTGGAATGTTTAATACAGTCGTGGTGTTAAGGGCAAAGAAGTTATCTCACGGAGTTGTACCTAGAAAGTTTTCAAATGATAGCGAACGGCGTGAGAAAGTTTCCATCATTCTCTCTTCAGTTAACTATCGCAGGGTTTACTTAAATCATTTAAGAAAGTCGCGTTTTGTCGAAGATGTGTTGTTTTACCCTCAGAGGGAAGAAATGGCCTCTCCGAAAATTGATTCAAAATGAGATTGAGTCAGCGATGTTCATGTTTACATTGAGTCTGACGCGTTAATTTGATTTTGGTGTGAGAACCCGTCAAACATCTGAGAATTAAACGACGGACCGCAAATGAAGGTACAAACAAACTCATGGGTCAGGTGAAGTTATTCCTACCATAAGCGTCCCAAGCTCACGTCTCGAGAAAAAGCAAACGATTAATTCATGAAAGCGTCACGTGTTGTGTGATTCGGTGTTCAGTTACGAGTGGGAAACGAAATAACAGTAATGGCAAAACAAGCTTAAAACGGCAGAGAACGCCGGAAACCACAACGGACACACAAGATATGAGTAAGTTCTAAAGGTTTCACCAGTAAAATGTTCATATTTCGGGATATTTACTGTTGTAAATCGACCATATTTCTTTCCTCATACCATTGCTCATAACGTGTTCAACTTCCGGTCAGTGAAAAACGCAGACTGCTGAGGTGGTCACTGAAACAAGGAATGACCTAAAATGACCTTGAGTGATTTCTTAAATGACCTAAAATGACCCAAAATGACCTTGAGTGATACCTAAAATAACCTGATATGACCTTGAGTGAGGGTGTGGATGGGCTCAACCGACTAGCGACAAAGGGCGAAAAATACTACCGACTACCGACAAAACGAGAAAAAAATTACCGATACCAGCAGAAAAAAAAATTAACCGACTACCGACATGGGCCGACATTATCGATATTTGTTTTCACAAAGATGAGATCAGAAGAGCATTTTGTATTTTTTATAGTTTACGAAGTAACCGCATTAAAGGTAACTACAGAATTTCCTGTCATCTTCTTACTTTTTAGCTGGAAGAGCGCGGGATCATTTCGCAGAACAATTTTCGGTACTCGAGCCCACGAAACCTCCCGCTGTAATATTTCAACCACGTTGTTTGTTCATACGGTCCAGCCATGTCAGCCTCATGAGTGTAATCATAAAAGTGATCGTGAGTCTTTTCCGAAAAGGCGAAGAAGTCGCAATCGAACGCCACCGTAGCCGGGGTCCGGTCGACAAAGATAAACACACAAGAGTATTCAAATTTAAAAAAAAACTGACAGAATTTTTGGGATTGAAGGAGCAAGCTCATCAGTTTGGAATTGGTGGTTTCTCGCCGAAGCTCTTTCGCCTGGCAAAATCGTCCACGGGCAAATGCGAGAACTTTGCTACAGTAACAGATGGGCAGTGGCGACTAGAACTGCCAAATTTAATATCTGATGAAGGCAGCAGTGAACTCAACGGTACGTCGTAGAACGCTCTATTAGTCAGAATAGTTTCTAAACATGTCCAGCGGAGTGTGATGGTTGGATCACTGTAGTAGATCTGTAGTTAAGTTGTAAGATTAAATATTTATGTTGTTCTCTACTCGTTC